TACTCAAACTAAACATCACGGGAACACTGGTCCTTGACCTCTAGTATGACCTACTCCAACACAACAGCGGAGGAAACACTGGTCTCTGACCTCTCGGAAGGTCTACCCCAACTGAAAACCAGGAGAACACCGGCCCGTGACCTCTAGCATGTTAAACCGCGACACACGTGCCCGACCCACTCGGCAGGGCAGACTTCTACACCTCCCTAGACCGACAAGCGAGGCGGGCGGGAGACGTTTTGGGTACCACGCACAAGCAGTGTGTAACGCACTGCCAGCCTGTATGACGTAACTAACACAGCGGCGTTTCGTACGCGCGGTGAGGACGCACGTATTCGATCACTAATGCCATTGGTAGCCGGTGAATGGGTGTGTATGTGTTACGCGTTTCTTTTTCACCTGCATGTTATTATCTCATGTACTTTCGACACGGAGCTGTCATAGCTACCCTCCACTGAAGGTGGCCCTATGGGCGTAGTACATACTTACATACTTGCATGGCCTACTCCAGCTGAACACCAGAACACCGGTGAGAGCGCGTGTGTTCAGGCTGCTGCGCGGCTGATCTAGGTGGATGAGCAGAGGGGCCCACTTGTTGCAGGTCTACCTGTTGAAGAACATTGAATCAAGCCAACAGTTGCTTCACTTACTGCTATCGTACTCCATTGGTAGCCGGTGAATGGGTGTGTATGTGTTACGCGTTTCTTTTTCACCTGCATGTTATTATCTCATGTACTTTCGACACGGAGCTGTCATAGCTACCCTCCACTGAAGGTGGCCCTATGGGCGTAGTACATACTTACATACTTGCATGGCCTACTCCAGCTGAACACCAGAACACCGGTGAGAGCGCGTGTGTTCAGGCTGCTGCGCGGCTGATCTAGGTGGATGAGCAGAGGGGCCCACTTGTTGCAGGTCTACCTGTTGAAGAACATTGAATCAAGCCAACAGTTGCTTCACTTACTGCTATCGTACTCATTGAAGGAAGCAGAAGCATCGGAAACAACTCGTGCCTGAGAGGGTTGGCCAACGCCAGTCCGACCAATGAACAAAGAAGAATCAATACACTATTTGATAATTATACGACCACCTTATGCAGCTAACAGTTCCACTTGGAATGACGTTATGTTTTTTGCTAGTACGGGCATCAGTTGTACGTTGTGGAGTTGACATGTAAGCACGCGATAAACATCTGCAGCGCTGCGTCCGAGCACGCTAACCCCGATCCCCTCAACACATCGGATTCAACTCTGTCACCTTCCCGGGACTCAATTACGCTCTATAGATCAGAATTCCGGTGTTGACAAGATGAAATGGCCTGTTTACGGCACCGTGATTGGCTGGACCGGCTCATACAGGCCACGGGTCTCCCCGGGGATCCCAGCACGAGGTATTGCGGAAGGCTTTTAGAGGGATAATCGAGCGCTAAAGCATTCGCCACGCTCCAGACGAGCGGGCATTTGCGATAATCTAAAAGCAAAAGGAACGCTGCTGCTGGCGTTCAGAAGTTGCGAAAGGAGCTCATTTCAAGTGGCTGATGAAGTAGCTACGCGTTCCAGTGTAATGAATTACCCTCTCCCTGCCTAGTTCGTGCGTCGATTTGAATACAGCGACCGATACCCGCAATGTCGCGATGCCTCGCGATTACAAAGTCGCATGCGGACTCCGAGCACCCGCAAATGCAAGCAATGCGCCGACGACGTCACACAACGGTGTGCGCGGAAATTGAATACCTCCGCGGAACAGCGCCTCAGACGACAAAATAAATCGCCACGACGGCAGGCACTGGCGCATTCCGGCGGTCGAAGGTCAAACGGCGCCCCAGGGCACCGGTCAGAGCCGCGGAGCCGACGGTGGTCAGGGCCGGCCGTCCGAGCCGATTGAGCCGGGTAATCGGACCAGATTGGCGGCGCACGGCTCATCGGGGATCGCTTTCGGCTGCCGCCGCTCCCCGTGACGCCAGCGGTGACGTCAGACGCTGCCGCCGGCGGTCGGCTGACGGGCCAATGAGCGCCGCTGATCTGCCGTGGGCCGCGCACTGAGGCGAATGGCGCTGCCTACCTGGGCGGCGCAATGTTCCTCGCTCGTGCTGGCTTCCGCTTGCTCCGGTGGCCTGTTCGTGTGTACCTGGCTGGGGAAGAAATAGTTTTGATGCCGAGACGCTCAGAGCTCAGCGCACGGGGGAAATTGGCAAGGAATATCCGCAGCACATATCATCCTGCTATGCCCATCTTCCTGTATAGCACTTGCTCTCCGGGCGATGTGGTGCGGCAACGGAGAGCGAACGAGTTTAAAAAATGTCTGCCACGACTTGGTCACGGCCACATGTCTCGCAAGCCGAAGCGGGGCGCGGCCAGGAATTGCCTGCCAACCGACCCGCAGTACGTCGGTGCATGACGGCACAGTCTACCGTGCCTGTGACGTTTGGGGAGGGGCGCTGCCCCCGAACCCTACCCCACTGCACCTGGGCGTGCAATAATTCGTAACATAAATGGAATAGATACACCATGACTTTGATACGCTCTTTGGTAGGGGTATCGCGGTGCATTGTTGGTGTTAAAGTTGGCATTCATCCTGGGTGTTACAACCGACACCCCTTCGCCATTAAAGGAAGTGTTCCACATCTGCATCGGGTTTTGATCTGAAATCGCCATCTTGAAGATCTTCGGTGGAGTTCATAGTCCTGCTCTCCTTAAGACATAAATCCTTTTAGTTTCTGGGTCATACGTTCGCGAAGGTGCGTAGGCTTCTTCGGAGAGGTTATTTCAATGTCACCCAGACATCCATGACGCCATCATGACGTCATTAAATCCTACCACTCCATTAGCCATGCGGCGGTCAAGGCCACTAAAAATACAATCGCGGAATTGCTCATATCTGGCGTTGGTGAACAGGACCGCAATATATAACGGCCGTCAATTGTCTATCAATCAATGTCGCACAAGGTACGATGGCGTGATCAAATAATGACGTATTGAGCTGCATATTTACTAAACAGCAAAATTGTGTTGTCTATAGTAGCTACTTCCCCTCAAAATTATAACAATAGTCCTAAGTGAGCTTATGCCATCATTTCTGATGCTTGCCTCAATATCTTCAAATGCAGTTAGGGAAGGAAACTGCACGATGTCCAAAACTGTGGATGAACTGTGAACTGTGAACCAAAACTGTGGTCCAAACTGTGGATGGTCCAAACGTGGATGGTCCAAAGCGTGGATGGTCCAAAGCGTGGATGGTCCAAAGCGTGGATGGTCCAAAGCGTGGATGGTCCAAAGCGTGGATGGTCAAAGCGTGGATGGTCCAAAGCGTGGATGGTCCAAAGCGTGGATGGTCCAAAGCGTGGATGGTCCAAAGCGTGGATGGTCCAAAGCGTGGATGGTCCAAAGCGTGGATGGTCCAAAGCGTGGATGGTCCAAAGCGTGGATGGTCCAAAGCGTGGATGGTCCAAAGCGTGGATGGTCCAAAGCGTGGATGGTCCAAAGCGTGGATGGTCCAAAGCGTGGATTCCAAAGCGTGGATGGTCCAAAGCGTGGATGGTCCAAAGCGTGGATTCCAAAGCGTGGATGGTCCAAAGCGTGGATGGTCCAAAGCGTGGATGGTCAAAGCGTGGATGGTCCAAAGCGTGGATGGTCCAAAGCGTGGATGGTCCAAAGCGTGGATAGTCCAAAGCGTGGATGGTCCAAAGCGTGGATGGTCCAAAGCGTGGATGGATGCACCGTGGATGCATCCTAACGATGTCTCAAATGAACATTAAGTACACGCTTTTACAGCCGCATTGACAAAAAATACATTTGCATATATATATATATATATATATATATATATATATATATATATATATATATATATATATATATATATATATATATATATATGTGTGTGTGTTGTGTGTGTGTGTGTGTGTGTGTGTGTGTGTGTGTGTGGTATGTGTGTGTGTAATGAATGCGCAAATCTCATTTTGCATCAAAATTACATTCTCCTGTTCAACGCTGCGATCCTCGCTGTGATAACTTTGGTGTGGCAATGCATCAAACATCACTGTTAATTGGCATAGCGGTACAGTTTTATTACTTGCCCCTGATGTCGAATAAAAAAAAATTATTTCAGTTGTTCATTGCGTGCGAGAGATAGCATTTTCCAACTCATGCATTTAACTACATGGTTTTTATCTGCTCAAATTATGGTGGTCAAAGAAACGATCAAAATGGAGAAGCCCCATATACAACGAATAGCAAATTAACCACCAAAAGCGACGCATCCAAAATGCAAAGGACAAATGAGAAATTCCTCCACCCGGCTGCGATGCGATGTGACTTGAGGGATGGCTCTAGCTTAGCTAATGCTTCTAATGATCTTCAGCTTAATTAGCTGGCATTATGCATATTCAAACTATTGAGTTATTCAAATTAAATTATACTTAAACAAATCATACTGTTAGTTATACTTAATTATACTGTTCATTAAATTATACTTAAAAAAACTTTGCCCCGCCCCTTCATTATACTCTGCTATCTCATTGCCCACAGTTACATAGGTAATCTGCATCTTTATTTATTGGTGCATCCCTAACTTTTAGTTTCTGTCGCACTGGCATCCTGCAACACATAACGTCAAAGGTGGATACAAAGCAGACAAAGCCCCTCTGCAGGTTACAGCCAGAGTGATATGATGAGATCACTGGTGTCGGAGCCATCCGGAGGGCAGAAACGTCCCAAAGTGTGGATGGTCCAAAGCGTGGATGGTCCAAAGCGTGGGTGGTCCAAAGCGCGGATGGTCCAAAGCGTGGATAGTCCAAAGCGTGGATGGTCTAAAGCGTGGATGGTCCAAAGCGTGGATGGCCCAAAGCGTGGATGGTCCAAAGCGTGGATGGTCCAAAGCGTGGATGGTCCAAAGCGTGGATGGTCCAAAACCGTCTTTGTGAAGTCAGTGTACTCCAAGCATGAGCATAGGGCTGATACTTAGTTCCAGTGTATGAAACCAATCGATGCTTCTGCTTCCAGAGGCCTGCTGGCGGCAGCGAAACGTCTACAGCTGGGACAGTCGTTCTACTGGATCGCCAGCGACGGCTGGGGCAAGCAGGAGAGCCTGGTGCAGGGCGTGGAGGAGGTAGCCGAAGGCGCCATCACCGTCGAGCTCACGTCCAAGCACATTCCGGCCTTCGATGCCTACATGGCTTCGCTCACGCCCGACAACAACGCCAGGAACCCCTGGTTCAGGGAGTACTGGGAGGCGTTCTTCGACTGTCCACTGGAGCCGGCAGCTTCGAACATTACGTGCGACCCCGACTTGCGACTGCTGCCAGAGAACGGCTTTGTGCAGGAGTCCAAGGTGCAGTTCGTCATCGATGCCGTGTATGCGTTCGCGTACGCCCTGCAGACGCTGCAGCTGGAGGTGTGCGGAAACGCCTATTACGTATGCCCAGGCATGAGGAAGTACGACGGGGGTGCCTTCTACAAGAGGTACCTGCTCAGCGTCTCCTTCAAGGTGAGTCACCCGACGTGCAAGATCATTCGTTTGATGCAGTTTCCATGTAAAATTGAAGGAAGGAGCGCAGCGTTACACGCGTTTTACTGCTGCGTTCATGGTGTGGCGCTGTTGAAGAGCGGTTGTGTTGTGTTGGAGAGCGGACGATAATCTTCGGCGCGTATTTCCTGGCGTTCCCTCCAACGCCATCACCTGACCCACGTCACTGTCACGTGACTTCGAAATCTCGGTAGGCTGCTCGGAGAGTTCCGCTTACGTTGTTGGGTTAAAACTGCTACATATTTTGTCTTTTCATGAAATCTTAAAGCATGAACATCTTGTGAGCATGTGTCTGAACTGCATTGTTGTTCTTACCATTCATAAGGCATGGCACTAAAGAGCAATCAAGGTGTTGTTTGGGAAGTGATAAGTCAGCGCCTTTCTTCAATAATGATATCAAATAAGATTGAGACCTGGGATTGTGAGACTTGCCTCCCTAAGATGCTTCCTATTTCCATTTAGTGAGCCATCAGTGGCATTTTACGAGACTAAGAAATTAGTGACACCCAAGAGACTAATGCTGGATATTGTGTTATTTGTCACGGCTTGGCTGATCCATACTCGATCTGTTGAGCCCTGGAGGTTTATTTGTTGAAAGTTGTAGCGTGGTGTACAGAGTCATTCCAAGATATCACATATAACAAATAGGTCACCAACGATGATTATCTTTTACTAAAAATGTTCGCCTTAGAAAATCTCATCGCTATGAGGACAAACGTCCAGCTCATCTCCAAGTCGGTCTTCTCGTTCATTGGCAAATAAGGCCGCGGTGAGCTTACGATTATGCTATCATCATTGCTGGCATGCATCACCAAAGTTTAATATTTAACTTAAATAGTTCGGCCAGGAAATACAAGAACAAAAAGAAAAGGATAATAAAGATGGAAGTTTCTGTTTCGATCTGCTTTTGACAGAAGATCTGTGGTGCAGTTATGGTCCTATTTTCTTATGAAATGCAATCGTGATTTACAGTGAGGTTATAATCGTATTGCACACTTCGGAGCAATTGCAGGAACAACACGCATCAAGTGGCTTGAGAAATAGGCTTGATTTTCCCGACTCCCACCTGCTCAATGGCGTGAAATTAATATGAATGACTTTGTCAGCTGACCCAGACTTGGTCATTAAACTACGAGGATTAGTCTGGAACTTTAAAATTACTGTTTGCACTCCTCTGCATTTGTCAAACGCACGGGAAGCCTCACTGGATTAGTAGGAAATCCCATTTTAGAGAAAAAACCGTCAAGAGCTTGACACGAACACCGACAACATCTCGCGACCTTCCACTGCGCACTGCACAGGGGTACAGCGAGTGTATGCTTTCTAAACATTTTGCATTTCTTTGCGTTAGGCATAGGTCAGGTCAGGTAGAAGGCCAGGTTAGGCGTAGATCAGGAACTGAGGCGACCAAATGTTTCGGCTGTGAGCGCGCTGGACATTCGTTAAATCCTGAGGCCTGAGCATGAATTGGTGTGTTGTCAGAGGCGCTATGGAGAAGACTGGCATGCGAGTTTGCAAGAACGATGCTCGGTTACATCCCGCGTGGCCGTTCTTTTCGTCATAAGTTGGCAGACTATCAACATTCGCACGTAATGCAAACAATACCAACGAATCATTGCCTGCACCATTAAAGCAACCACTCGCTATGGCGGCGTACTTCTTAGTGTTGAAACCATGGTTTCTCATTATCGACCGGGTGTTCTAAAAAAACATCGGAACATTAAAGGAACCCATAGGCCATGAACGTAGGCCATGTACACCTGAGCGGGGGACGTGGCCGGCTTTGGTCGGAGCTGTGCTCCGCGGAATTTGCCTGGTGGAAGACCAATGTCGCCCAGCGTGTTCGTAAATCCCGACATTCATCTCGCGCCGCTCGGTGATTGTGGTCGTCTCACTGCCGAGACGGCTGCTGTCCGTGACCTTTCCCGCCCGCAGCGGCGCGGGGATTCTGACCTGGCGCCGGAGCGCCCCCTCCCCCATGGGAGCTGTTATTGCCCGCTGCGGCGGCGGACATCTGGCCTCGGCGCCGCTCCCCGAGGGGCCTCGCTCGAGGCCGGTCGGCGGCTGGCCCACGCTGTGCCGCTGACCCGTGGCGATGGTGCGGTGACCTAGTCTGAGTGGTAACCGGCGGCCGTCCGAGGATGGCTCAGCGGCAGAGGCGAGTGGCGCCCGGATATCGGCGGTAGGTGGTCCGCAGCAGCCTGTCTGGTCTGCGGCCGGCAGACTCCGCTCGTTGCCGGTCTTTGCTTAGCATTGGCACGCCATGTCTAACCGGACGCTGTGCAGTTTGTTTTTGCTTTTGCTCAGGGTTGTCCCACCTAAAGAGTACTTCATCATCTGTCTGTCTGGGTCCGTCCTCTTCCACGGCATGGGTTCATTTTGATCGGATACCGCGATGGCGGTGCCCCATCATTACCCCATCATTCTGACATGCTTAGTCTGGCAGGCCACATACATAGTCTCTACCTCAGCGATGTATTTGCGGTCTGTCGGTGTGCAACGTCAGCGATTGGCATGCCAGCTGCGAGGAGGAATTTGTAAATCATAAAATGATGAAAATGTGTTACAATTGCCATTTTTATCTATGTTTGAACATATTGAAGCAATCATGAGACATGACGAAAAAAGCTCACTTTTCACTTTTGGTATAATGAAAAGGGAAAAAGGCTGCTCTAGGTAACAAAACGGCCCTGTTTAAGAAATATGCTTCTTAAAGCGTCATTGTTTGATTGCGTCATCGTACTTTACACAACATTAATTAAAAACCAGTTGATGGCCGTTATATCTTGAAATGGCCCTCACGAACGCCACATATGAACGACTTGACCACTATATTTTTCTCGGTCTTGAGCGCCACATGGCTTATGGAATGACAGGATTTGAATGACGTGATTATGACGTCATGAGTGCCAAGGTGACCTTGAAATTATCTCCCCATTGTTTGGGGCACGTAGCTCCAAAACTAGAGGATCTTGTCTTAAGGACAGGGCTGTGAACTGACCTTTCCTTAAGACCAAAAGATCTTTAAGATTGTTTTTCAGCTTAAAACGCCCTACAAACACTCCCTTTAAACACGGATCTCAATGATCATCAGCGGCAGATGATAATGAAACGAACGCTTGCAATATGCTGCCGTTGTCCATATTGGATGTTCTGACAGAATGAGCTGACAGCAATTGGGCACAGATGACAACAATGACAGTGAGTTATTTGGATATTGCCAGTTGTCTGGGCACGTCAGTGATCCGCTATATTTGCGGCTGATGACGACGTTGAGCGTTTATTTTAGAAACAACATCATTGGAATAAATGGAAGAACTGATCCCACATCAAATATCAGGAGGGCTGAGTTTTGAAATGCATCTTCAATTACGCGGAACAAATTCTGTAGAGTTAGGTTATGCGTCACATCCATTTGAACCGGTGTGTAAACGTATATGTAAGATTCATTCAATCTATTGACCACATATGACACTGATATATCATTACGTTACCCAATTTTACACCGATCCTAGTCGAAGAAAGCCGCGTGCCGTGGTGTCGCAGATGGTATCCACTCCTCGAGCTCTCATTGGTAGGTTTGGTATCCTGCCTCAAGGCCACGTCACCACGAACCAACCCGTGCTAGTATTTGGGTACGCGATATCGAAAGTCAATGTTGTCCCACGGAAAGCGAGCACTGTATCGGCCATGATTTCCACTATGCTGGCGCATATCAAAATGCTCTTGTAACTGTTCGATGCCGAAATAGGTGTATACGAACACAGCAGCCGCAGCATCCACGTATCGTTGTAGCGCGAGGTTTGAACGGTCTGCCGACTGCGAAGCTTGCTACTAAATTCCTGTGATCTGCCTCATATTTTGTCACTTGCTTCCCTCCTCTGCGACCTGCGTCCCTCTCATGTGGCCTGAGTTCCACCTCTGTGACCTGCGTTACTCCTTCTCTACCTGTGTCCCTTCTCTGCGACCTGCGTCTTTCCTCCGCGACCTGTGGCGCTCCCCTGAGACCTGCGTGGCCTTTCGTGATCTTCCGTTACCTCGGCGTGCCTGGTTGCCCAGATCTGGCCGGCAGCAAGGTCATGTTTGACGAGAGGGGCGACGGCCTGGCTCGGTACACCATCTTCAACTACCAGCGATCGGCGGACGGAGCGCATCGTTACAAGGCGAGTATGCAGGCGTCGGTTTGATGTGTGATGTATGTTAACACTGGCCGGTACTGGTCAAGATGTTTCTGACGGGAAATTTGCTTCTGGCGGGTTCGGGTCCTTGGCGATAATCCCTGCAGGCTGCGACGAGTTGTTGGATTACACGTTGTTGACTGCAGCTAGATAACTTTACGTGTTGGGTGAACCCATTAGTGCCAATGTAGAATGAGGCGAATCTGGGTGCGATTAGGTGTGAGACTTAAACGAAATTCCCGGGCGGATGCACTGCTTGGAAGTTACTTAGTCAAAAGTAGCTCCACTCACACTTGATTTGACATCATCAGTGGAAACAGCAAGTTTGCCGTAAACTTTAATGAACCTCGTTGATAAGTCCGGGACAAAAATCATGAGAAGTCCGAATAACCGGGTTGCAAGTGATTACAGTTGATTGAGAATGCGTAGCGGGTGGGTGGGGGCGCAGCCACAGCGTAGCAGACGGTTGAGGAAAGGATATATAACCCTTCTGCAATGTTTTGGCTCAAATATGGAACCCATGGAGGGCCAGTCTGTCGTGCGACACATTCATCATGACATTTTTAGCCCGTAGCGTTCCCATAGTGACCCAAGACGTGGAGACATTTCAGTTGTTCTAGGCGTGCTACATTGAAATCCTACGTCCTGGGGTTGAACACCTGGCTGGTTGGGTGAGGGACAAAACCACTGAGCTGCTTTGGTAAGCCCGACAACTACTCTCCTGCTGCAGGTGATCGGCCGCTGGGAGGGTGAGCTCTTCATGAGCCCGGGGGACGTCCAGTGGAACCCGGGCAGCGAGCCCACCGCGCCGGCGGCCGGAGCGCGGGGGAAGCCCGCCGCCCCAGCCTCGCCGACCGAGCCGGAGCGGCTCGACAGAGGCGCCCGCCTGCCGCTCTCGGTCTGCGCACTGCCCTGTCAGGTCGGAGAGGTCAAACGCATGCAGCAGGTGAGAGCGACGGGACAAGGGGTCAGGAGGCTGTCTGGACGATCACGCCATTCGACGACTGTCCAACATGCGTTGTCATTGTCACCAAACCGTTGGCCATTGACCACTGTCATTTAACAGCTGTCTCTAGACGCTTATGTTCAGTTCATTTTTCCCACTGCCGAGCGTTATAGGAGAAAGCGATAGTTGTTGACAGCAAAAATAACAAAGCTGGTATTGTCCCATTTCAGCGCACACCAATGACCGACACCCATTACCTGGTGCATATCCCAACCCAACACATTAAAACAATCGCGACGATAGAACGGGCCGAACAGCTCAGCAGCCCGATGGGGGGGGGGAGGGGGAGAGGGGAGGGAGGGAAGATAAGCAGCACAAAAAATCACAGAATCCATGCACGGAGCACTAGTTGTAGAGCAACAGGCGGCAGTGGGTGAACAGTGTCAGGTGGGCTCTGCCGGCCGCTGCCTTGTCATCAGACCGAACACGCTTGGACGGACATGGACGAGCACGTACACGTGGATTTCGGCCTCAGGCGGCACCGGTCAGCCGGCAGCAGGTCAGCTGATCACCGGACGCTGATTGGTCGTCTAGTCACAGCTGAAGGATGCAAGCCCGACCAGGTGTTCGAGGGGGGGGGGGAGGCACACGCGACCCGCGCCTCTGCCGCCTTTCCAAGTTGCACGGACGAGACGCCGGATCGTGGGAAAAGCTCAATAATTAGGTTGCATGTCATTGGTCGGCCATACTCGGCTTATTTGTATATGGTATTGTATTGTATGGGCCCCATAGTCGCCACTTCGGACCTTAAGGTGCACTGTTGGTCAGGGAACTAGAAACCCCACCTAATGTTGCAACAGCCGTATTGCCTTTTGGATGCATACTAAAAAACGGACCCAGTGGATACAGACATTGACCTGCGACCACTGGGAGGGGAGGAAAGAAGTGCGGGTGGGGGAGGGGGTGTAAAACAACGCAAAGACAAAGGACGTCCCAGTTTTTATTGGGGCATCAGCTTCTAATTCACTATACATGGACCAACTGAATTTTTGTTAGCTGCCAAGTGATTTCTTTCTGACAGCATCCTGACGGACATATTTCGACCCTAAATAGGGTTGCGAAAATAATACACGAAAGGTAGATTTCCAGAGCGGTCCGCTTTTAGAGGTTGTGATTCGCAGCATCACTGTTGCTTTATTGTTATTTTGACGTGATACCGACATTGGTCAGACCGAACAGTTTTCTCCCGGTCCGGTCCTCCGTTCATAGAAATCCTTCGGCGCGGAGCGTGAATTGATTGGCAACAAACGCGGCCCTACAAGCCTACAAATGTCGGGAAAATTATAACAGGTTAAAAAAGAAAGTTAGAGGTTTAATAGAACAAGTTGTGTTCTACTTTGCGGTATTTGTTGATCACTGAATCTTTTCGGATGCAATTTTTCCGTCCAACATTGGGAAAAACGTGGAAGTGTAGAGTAATAGAAAGAAATTATTATTGATTGATTGTCATAGAGAAATGATTATTAATTTGTTGATGACTTTTATGGCAAAATACTCCATTTTTCAAGACGTGGCCAGTTGCAGGACACTTAACCTATGGGTTACGTGCTGTCATGCCATGTGTTTGGAATGAGCCATGATTTTGGCTGGCGCTTCCATCAAAGTATATGACAAATCGTTGACTGCTGCTTCGCAAATCTCGGGAGGACTGTGGTGCAGGGCCAGATCCAGCCGGCAGGACAAACCTAAAAGACACTGAGAGCATAGGTTTTTCCGCTTTAAATCCTGTTTTCGTGAATTCGTAGTCTCATTCAGAGCTTAGATCCTTCCCACATAAAGTGCTGGATCAGCCATTGGCCGGAGAATGGCTGTTGGCTGCGTGGGTACGCTGTTGGGACCCAGAGCTAGACTGCGTGAAAGAGGGGCGAAATGATTATAGCAAGGTATCTGGTCACCTTTAAGTGGTTGTCAGATATGCCTGCAGTGCCGGACCTCAATTTGTGTTCGCTACCTGTTTGTAGCAAATAGGACCGTAACCCTAAAACATAGCCAGGATAATCAACCGTGGTCGACCCATCATGGTTCACAATACGTACTGTGACTCGGAAAGCAGAAAGTGCCCATAAAATGAGCTCACATGGACTTGACGTGAACCAAGTATCACCCTGACTCGACGCCTCATCTATGCTAACAACATGGCGTGTATGTGAAGTGAATGAGATGGCCACGCGCGCAGCGCCAGTGGCAAAGCAAGATGTCCGTTTTATAGGCTCTACGCCACCCCGACCTCGTTAAAGGATTCTCAGGCTTAGCAAGATACTGAACAGGATCTTGAGCATAATCGGCTGCGAATGGAATGTTTTGTTGGCGTGCATAGCCAGGTCATCGATTGACGTTTACATGTGCTTGATCTGACGATGAGATCACAAGTTCATGGCGAAGGCAAGTGTGGATCAGGCAGGTGCTGTTGACAAAGTGCTCTCAATGGTACCAGTGTGATCACGCCTTGGGAGCATGCCAAAAAATGTAAGGTGGATAAACAAGATGTGGCTATAACAGCAACACTACTAGTTTAATATTTCCAGCAGTACTGCCCGTGCAATCTGGATAGCTTTGCTTTGTTGCATTGCTGGCATTCTGAGAGCCGTGAAGACTATTCGAGAATCAGCCAGGAAGGTATTTCACCGCTGATGCCCGTCGGGCTTTGATGCCAAACTTCCACACCACCCATTGTGAATATTCCCGGAAATCTCTCCGGAATGATGCTCTCTACCTCTAATGGGTCGGCCTCCTGTTTATGTCAAGCCTAGCTTTTGACAGGCAATCTGTTTTAGACAGGGCGAAATTGACAGCACGCTATCACACCCCATCGTCAAAGGGTAATGAATGCCCACAATGAAGCTGAGGTGGTCGCCCGCCTGCAAGTACTTAGCTGCACGTCACCAAGCCTCTTTAGAACAGATCGCGCACACATATCCTGCCTTCCTCAGGAGGGACTTTTGAGATGCTCTTCTAGAAGCTCTGCAGCCTCACGCCTTTTTCAGGCGATAAGCTCCGTGATTATCCCTGAGTTTAAAAGGGCTGGCTGCCTTAGTTGGTAAGTGCCCGTACTCTACCCTCGATTTCCGCGAAAAGTGTTGCTATTTCTCGGATACCATTCGACGGTTGGCTATGTTCAGGGATACCGAATCAGCAGCTAGCGTTTGGAGTTTCGTAGATGGGAAAAAATTTACTTTATGTCGTAATAAATTTAGTACTTTCATATGACTTGATATACCATAATGTTTGCGTAGAATATGACAGTTCACACAGTTGAATGTGACAGCGTCTTGGTATATGTTATACGAATTTATTATTTGCCGGTTCCGCACTTTTTCCCTGCAGACAAGATTGGGGACGGCTGGTCATACTGGCCAACAGGAGGATGGAGAGCTGCCCGCTTTCTCCAGTGCGGCTCCAGTGTGGTGCAGCTAGGTCTTAACACACTTCATGGATTGAATTTTCAGCATCCGGTTCAATCCAATCAGGCTAGTCCAGGTCCCATTCGCCCACCAGTCCGCTTTTCCCAGATTTGTTTCAGTCCAATGCGGTTTGGTCCGCCTTATCAGAAAACATCATGAAATGAATTCGTGCTAATCTGCTTCGACATGCAAAATTTTCAAAATTTTGAGAGCAAATTCAAGATTCAATGTTTTTAAATGTGGAACACTCTCTTTAAGATGATGAGAGAAACCAACCATCAGACATGATGAAATAAGTTCACTTATGACTGTTGGTATATTTTTGGGTGGAAAAGGCTGCTCTAGACAACACAATTTCTCTGTTTAATAAACATGCTCCCCAATACGCCATTGTTTGATTATGTCATCGTACCTTATCCAACATTGATTGAGAGCCAACGGATGTCCGTTGTATCTTGAAATCGTGCTCACGAACGCCAGATATAGGCACATTGACAATTATATTTTTCCCATCCTTGCTCGCCGTATTGCATTTGAAATGGCATATCTGAATGCCGTTATTATGACGTTATGAATGCTAATGCGACTTTGCAATACTTTCTCAGAAATACTCTCCTCATTTTCGCGGGTCTGTAGCTCAGAAACTAGACGCGTTCAGGTCTTAAGAAGGGCAGAGCTGTGAACTGCGCCGAAATGCCTTCAAGAATGTTGTTTCAGTTTAAAGCCCCATACAAATATGGAACACGTCCTTTAACTTCAATGAAGTTGTTGATTTTCATTGGAGAAATATGCGCAATAATTTGTCGCAACCAGTGTGGGCTAAGATACTCACAGCTAGTTATCGGCCAGGAATGCAGGTTGTCCTTAAGATTAGAACAACTCTGAGCTCATAAAGACTATCATATTATTAATCACATCACACAAAAATTCGGCAAATAGTTCACAAGCAAAGCGTCGGTTTTGATGATGGCTAATGAGTTATTCCTGTGTGTTCGCACCGATTTAGATCATTTTCACGCTCATGTTTTGCAGCTGATCTCGCTAACATCATAAAGCTTGTCACTGTTAGCTGAAAAGCATACCCGTGATAACGGATACATGATTGAGAAAGGGTTTTCCATCCGCCCGCCGCCTTTTCGCCCGCCGCCGCGATCGGGACCGACATCGATCGTGAAACTGGGAGTGGTAGACTGTGCCGCCCACTAACCTTGTTCGGCGGGTCTGTATAATTCACCCGAGCACAAATCGACGCGTGAACGACGCGTGAAGACACCGGGATCCTGATGGCGGCACTCCGCTTGGTGAGGGTCATGTCCGGCGCACTCTGCATTCTGCAACCGTCATAATGTATATATGTATATATACATATATATATATATATATATATATATATATATATATATATATATGCATATATATATATATATATATAAATATGGTATTTATATATTATATTATATATGTGTAAAGATTCAATAAAACTAGCAACAGGTATGCTGACTTTTAGACGACTGTGAAACGAGCAGTGACAAAGCTCGATGATCCAGGGAAGAGGCCTTCGTTAGGCTGTTTCCTTTGCCGACGATTTAATGCGCAATTGTTTCCAGAATCGGTGCTCTGCGCCCATTCCGAGTGACGTTGACTGAGAGGTGCCAGAAGGCTGCATGTATGCCAGGCTCTATTCTCTGCAGATTTGGCCCATGGAGCTAGTTACCGAGAAGAGGACGTTTCGTTGGAGGCATCTATCTGTGACAAATGCCAACGTTGATGTTTGTGGCCATTAACACTTCCACTGAGCCAGTGAAAGTTTTTGCAATATATATTTATGCGCACGTTCCTTGAAGCTGTTTATCGAATTCACATCAGCTTGTCATTATGTATTTTTGAAGCAAGGGCGTCGCCAGTATATGTTTCTGGATCATACTAGACACGGGAATAAGTTGATGTATAACTGCGTAGCTAATGATGCAGGAATCCCTTCCCAGACGTTGGCCTGACAGCGTGGAACGCATGTGTACTTGCAGTGAGATGAGAGCTTCTAGACTTTAGCGGAAAAATAATGCTGTACATACTATTATCGCCTTGTGAGCTCTGAGTGTTTTGCTGATAGGCATTTTTCACATGACGCAGGTTTTGCTATGTTTCGTGAAATTAACACTTGAGTTTGATAAGCATTGTCTCCCCTATTTTCAAGTCAGGCAACGTTTCACATCCCCGTGAGATCGAATCCAGAATAAATGATGCAGATTTACGGGGCGTTTTGTTTGTGAAAGACTGTTAGTCAACAGCCTCGTCGCCCAGACAAAGCTGCCTTGTCGAGCACGCTACCGGGAGCGTTGCTGGGACGTGCACGCTCCAGACGCATGTCCCAACAAGTGGGAGCCTGTTTCCTGTCACTGCTAAATCACACCTCAGTTTTTATGGTCAGCAATGATGAGCTTTTTACCTTGTGCTGAGTCATACTGTTCAAATTACAAAGGAACGTTCCATAATTTGTAAGCCATCTGTTATAGTTTTGGGCTGACTACCATCGGTGTAAACCCTACTCCTAGGAAAACTAGTGAAGCTGGTGGCGCAAATCTGACAACTTAGTCACGGGCTAACTACTGATGGCGTGATGCGATTAAAAGCGACCAGACAGTGCGACTAGTCCCAACATCTCAGAAACAAAGGTGAAGAGATGGAACCGATCTCAAGATAGTAAGTAGGCGCGTAATAATAGTACGCGCAATCCACCAGCCATGTCTCCAGCCTTGTTTTGCTCCCTGGTCCTGCGACATTCATTTGGCCAATATGAAAGGAAATGCTACACATTTGACGATGCCGATGAGAGCACCAGATATGATGAAATAAGCTTACTTACCTTTTCGTGTACTTTTAGTGGAAAAGACCGTTCTAGACAACACAATTTCTCTGTTCAGTAAACATGCTCCACAATACGCCATTGTTTGATTACGTTGTCGTATCTTGATTGACAGCCGATTGACAGCCGTTAGATCTGAAAATTCTGCTCATGAACGCCAGATGCGAATGACTCGACAATTATATTTTATCGGCCTCGATTGCCGCATAGCTAATGGAATAGCAGGATTTGAGGTTACCGTGAAAAGTCTCCTCTCAAAACATCTTCGCGGCACATCTTCGCGGGAGCTTACCTCAAAAACTAAATGGGTTTGGGCGGTGCTCTGAACAGCATCAAATGATCTTCGAGGCCGCCATTTCAGTTCAAAACCTCACACAGATGTGAACAACTCCCTTTAACGCCACAGCATCAGGGTCAAGAATGATCTCTGAAAGGCGACCAGGTCTCTGGTTGTTCGTGGAAGAGAAACCGCGTCCCACATTGATTCTCTGCGGGCTGTTCTTGGCGTTGCTACCCGCTACTGCCGTTTCTGGAGGACTAATCACGATTGCTGGGAACCGGTGGGAGGGGGGGGGGGGGAGAAGAACATGTGGCATGCTTGCACTTCCGCTGCTCTTGAAGCATCACAGAAGCAGCGGCAATAACCGCGGGGAGCACCCAATGTGCCACGCGCACACGAATGCGCCCCATAAGCAATCAAGCTCGTAGGTATGTGTAATCTCGCAATTTGTGATATCATTGAACCGTGGCAGCTTGGATTCTCGTATTTGGGACCTGAACCCAGCGTGAAACACGTGGGTTTTTCAGTCGGCAGCAGTCCATTGCGGAGGAGGCCGGCGCCGTTTCAGAACACTAGCGGCCGCGTTAGTATTCCTTGTAGCTGCGCCGCCGCTTCGTCCTCAGGTGGGCTGAGCTTTGCAGTAGTGCCCTGAACAGCGGCCTATTTGCAAGGAACGCTAACCTGGAGAGAAGAAACTAACCTGGAGAGAGAGAAAGCCGGGGCTGAAGCAGGCCGACCCTCCTTTTCTTCATATAAAGAAGATAATTTGTTTCTGAAAGCGTCACAGGCCTGCGTAAGCATGCAACTTCACGGCTTGCGGCTCGCATTAAACTGTCTGCCGCACGATTTAGCGCTGCGGTACTGCATACATGAATATATTTGTGCCTTTACTAAAGGCCCGACACGTACATCCACCGCAAGCCCACTTCAGTGAACATATTGCTGAGCCCACACGCTATTCAAGGCTTGAGATCGATGCGTGCCGGTAAGTCACTGCTGGAATGCCACGTCTCTGCACCTCATTCCCAGCCTTTCAAAGACCGACACAACTCGCCGCAGACGTCGACAACTGCAGCACGCTATTACCAACGCCACGCGAGGACACTGCACCAGCCGCAGCCCCGTCGGCGGCCGCGCTGCCGATGCGGTGCTTCGCGAGCGAGCCGTTGCTCGACTCGCGTGCCGCCGGAGCACCTGCGGGTTATGGTCATCGCGTTACCGTAACGTGGCTGCATTATTACCGTAACGTGGTAACGTGGAGTTACCGTAACGTGGCTGGGCCTGGTAACGGGCTGGTCGCGAATCGCCGGCGGCGCATAACTCATCCAGCCGGCATTGATCGGGTTAGCGCGGCGTGCGGAGTGACATACCGCCGCAGGCGCTGGCGGCACGAGCACATTATGTGCGCACTGAGACGCGCCGTACGAGAACAGTATCATTGAGGGGTTATTATGATTGCGTTAGTTCTGTTGCACCAGCGGCATAGAGCTAGCTGGAGACGGATTGCTGTTTTGTTTTACTAGTTATTGCAACATTTGTAGGGGGAACATAACTTTTTGACAATATTTCCTCGTCGTTTTTATTTCTTGTTCTTAAGGGCCTGTTAGAGTAAATATAATCTCAAAATATATGTTCACATAGCCCGGCTATTTTGCACAACTGTTTATTTTAAGCCCAGAGGTGTGAATAATAACGCGCCCGGGTGGCCTTTTGGATACCATTCGCTCGAGTGGGAGTGGGGATCAATTTGACCGCCTGAGATCTCGAGAATTAAGAAAGCTAGAGACACCGAATTTACAAGATGTGTTCACCTGTAGGTGAACTCACCTAGATCAAAGTTTGAGATTCCTAGGCCATGACCTTCAGGTTAAATATGGTCAAACAAGGTCAATCATCAGGCTAGTCTCTCAAGTGACCCCAGAACGCAGATATCTGTTTCTAAGCAAAGGTCACAAGCTCATTCAAGGTCAGTGACCTTTTTTGACCTCTTGAAGGTCATGGTGACCAAAATCATACAAGGGTGATCTGAGTTTTGCATTTGAATAAGCGACAAAGATTATGCTAGGCAATATGTTTCTAAAAACAAAATGATGACCTGGGTCACTTTATGTCAATGACCTATTCTGACCTCTAAGAAGTCCACAGAAGATGTATAATGCGGCTCCTACTATCAATAAACTCAAAATGAGTACCACAATCTATCCCATACAGCAAGCCGTAAAGCAATAAAACAGGTTGCCTTTGACCTTGGTCCGACCTTTATACCTGATCTTAGGTCGACTTAATTTGCTCATTTAACATTTTTACTGCCTAAGAAAGCATCTCACAGATGTATGGCTTTGTCTAGCACTCTGTTGTTGCATCAGATTAAAGGATCCCTAGAAATTAATTGCGCTGAAACCATGACCTGACTTTGACCTGCCATAGGTCAGCGATCTTATAAGGTACACCTAATTTCTTATGTCAGACGATCCGCTATTAAATTACCTACCACTATACAAAATTTGGCGCGGCGTAGCCGCGCCGTTCGGAGCCCATTTTGAAAAAAACCTTCGGCGAAGTCAATTGGCCCCGCCTGAGCGCGTATTAAACTAAATCTGAAGGGGGTGGCGAGCTCAGTGTGTCAACATGGTCAACCTACCCAGCCCCTTATTCGCGGTATCCCAAAATTCACTCATTTTGCATTCAGGGCTGGGGCCTGGCACGTGATGGTGTGAGTATCGTATAGCAGACAACTTGGAGGGGTGCAGCCCTAAAGTAATTAAGCGCGGTGTGCAGTGGAGGACCCTGGCTGCATTTACAACACCAAAAAAGACCTTGGCATTAATGGGTAGTGTACTTCCCTTGACCCCCAAATCAACCTCATTCCACAGCCTGATCCTCAACTTCCACGGACGACTTTGACTTCCAACCAGCTTATTTGGAGTAGCGGACGGTGGTGTAGTGTTTAGAGTGCCAGCCCGCGTTGAGCGGGCTGGCACTTGAGCCCCTCGCTGCATACGGCCTTGTCTAGTGTAAGGCGGCAGGAGCAGCCGCAGCCCCTTGCTGTACACGGCACTGTCCAGTGTGAGGCGCCAGGAGCAGTCGCGGCCCCTCGCTGTACACGGCCCTGTCCGACGTGAGGCGCCAGGAGCGGTCGCGGCCCCTCGCTGTACACGGCCCTGTCCGGCGTGAGGCGCCAGGAGCAATCGCGGCCCCTCGCTGTACACGGCCCTGTCCGGTGTGAGGCGCCAGGAGCGGTCGCGGCCCCTCGCTGTACACGGCCCTGTCCAGTGTGAGGGGGGCAGGAGCGGTCGCGGCCCCTCGCTGTACACAGCCCTGTCCAGTGTGAGCGGTCGCGGCCACCCGCTGTATACGGCCCTGTCCAGTGTGAGGGGGCAGGCGCCAGGAGCGGTCGCGGCCCCTCGCTGTATGCGGCCCTGTCCAGCGTGAGGCGGCAGGAGCGGCCGCGGCCGGCGAGTGCGGCGCGGCCTGTCTCATTAGATGCCTTCCTTCCTGCTCGAGAGGTGACGTGGGCTAACGACCACCGCGATCAGCACACCGGCGCGCAATAACGACGACAGCGTGTCGCTTGCGCGGCTCTCGCGGCAGCCCGGTACGTGATCACACACACGCGGGTGGGCCACACGTGGGCCATGGCATGCAATGTTATTGCATGCCCGTGTATTGCAGAGGTAGCAAGCGTTAGAAGTGGTGCGTGACGTCATCGTGTCTCTCAAACCCACGCAAACGGTAGACGGGTGCGCAATTATGTCAGAGCGGAATGTGTGGAATGAATCCTAAACGTTGCGACATTGATGCAAGTCGGAAAGTAGTTCGTGACACGCGACACTTGCTAGCAGTCCTAACAGCACTCATGCAGGCGCGCGACGCTCGGCAAAGTGGGAGGGGTGGATGTGCCCACGGAGATAATCACTAAAACAACCCTAGTAGAGGAGACAGATCAGGCCTCCCTGCGGAAGGGCTGCGCAAAATCTTGGTATTCTGAATTTCATGTGAGCTTTAGCAATTCTTTTGAGACGAGTCAGAGGGAGCAGACAGGACAACGGAGTGTGCTTATCTCAACATCACGCTGCAGCGCTCAAGCACGGAGTGTGCGTGCCAAAATCATGCTGAAAATATGAACGTGATCATGTCACTTCTTTCCGTGACATTTTTTTTGCGTTACGCATGAAAACAGCACTAGATGAATCGTGTCTTCCTGCTTCCATCGTTTAACGGTCATTCCACATTAAGAGAATGAGAAGCTACTAAGCATCACACTTTCCATTACATTCTGCGGCTGGTCCCATTCATATTCGTCCATACATATGCACGCCTATCTTGAAACAAAAGACGGCAAAGCCGGTGCCTGTCGGTCCTTGTTTGCCTAATGTGTTCGTGTCTGCCACGCGGCCACATCGACCAGAGGTACTCTGTGCCGGTCAGAGCCGACGGCCGTGAGCGTCAGCCGCCTCATAAATGAAATGTCAGCTTCGTGGCTGTCGAATGCCGCGCCCTGGGACGTGACGATATGCACACTCGGTCTCGAGAAATGACCGCCATTGTCTGTGCTGCGCGACGTGAGAAGGGCAGGCGGCTGTCCTGCCGCCGCCAGCCGCTGCGGCTGTTTGATGTGGCGTGCTCGATACGCTGTCGGAGCTGACGTACGGAGCGCATATTTCCGCAACAGCTGCCTCCACGAGCGCACAGGCCAGGGCGCCAGTGCCCCGGCGAGCCAGTGACAGCCAGTCACAGTACGAAATATGGGCCGCTGCGCTGAATGGATGCAGGCAGGTGTCGCGAGGCAGCTGGACCAAAGGCCTTGCGGCCGGGTTTATGAGGCTCGCAACACAGCGGTTTGTGGGGCGCCACGTCTGTACGTCACGGTCAACGTAACGAGCCGGACAGTCGCAAGTGACACCGCCTTGGGCGAACGGGCTGGGGATTGGACGGCCGGCCGGGGCTCCCACGCGTTGTGGGTTTGGCGCGCGTCACCTTGCGCCGCGACAAACGCGAGACCTGAGAGGTGGCAACGCTAACGACCATAGCGTCATAATTCGCCGGGGGATGACTGAATGCGGCTTTTTAGCCCGATCCTCGAACACTTTTGTTACTGTGATGCGGGGGTTTAGCAGCAGATTAAATGAGAGCTAATCGCGGGGCGATGCAAAGCGGTGAGCTGCGACGGCATGTGACGCGTTAAGATGGCAGCCACGCACAGAACGGGGCAACGCTCGGTTAAGCTCGCGGGTCAGGATCACGGAGTGAATCAGCGCAGCCGGGCCACGAAGGAACTAGAGCCACTATTGTAACTGCATGCATTTAACCCGCGATGGCGTCCGTCTGTGTGCCTTCCCCGCAATAACCAGCGGGAAGACAGAAAGACGTTAGTATTTTCAGCACGGATAATTAATCACTCTCGTTGTTAGACGCTGTGCGCAAGGCTGCCTTCCAGCGCACATGCGCCATGTGTACGTGTTCACACCTGTTTCCTCCTAAAATCGGCTAGTTTTCTTCCCGATGATCTCGCAGAAATTTGAAACCGATCTCGAATCGATTCTCGATTAATGTGCTTCTTTCATTGCACACCAGCC